TCCCTGTATTTTACAATGTCAACGTGACCTGTGCAAGAAAAATCATTGTCTCCGGTCTGCAATAAAGCGGAAGGTGACAATGCAGGAGATCTGCACAGAAACCCCAAGCTGGAAACGCTTTCCCCACGCTGCTAGATGGGGTAGATTCAGTCTCGTGTCATGCACTGAACAATGAAACATCCAAGCAACTTCAGGAATGAATGAGAGGATGCAGAGGGTTTTGATTTTAAAATGAACTGCAGATGCTGTAAGGTACTAAGAGAAAAATTCCTCCTTTCTATCTGACATCTGTTACTTTTCTGCATGCAAGGCACTCAAAAAAGCTCTACTCACCGGTTTTCAGCGCGCAGGGTGGAGATGCTGAGAGAAAGAAAACCAGGCTCACTCTGCCTTTGTTGTCTGAGCTCCAAGCAAGAAATTCCTGCCAGGGTGGATGAGACGCCTCCTAGGTCCTAGTGCCTTGTTCAATCCCTTCACGGTAACTTTGCCTCAGTGGCTTTCACTCTCATCATCAGTCGTCTGCTCATAGTCTTCTCTGTATTTGAGAAAAAGAAAAAAGACCAAAAAAAGGGTGTGTTTATTCCAGCTCTGGATATGTTCACAGACGGGTAAACAAAAAGTTCAAAGGGGCAAGTTTTGGGGTGATGTTCTGAAGGATGCAAATTTCCCCTTGGCTCCAGCTTCACCAGGAAAGCATCTGGCCCCACTGAAAAAAAGAGCATAATCGGACTGATGCACCAGTATCAGAGGCTTACCAGTACAGGGAGGTCATGGCTACAGTCCTACAGCTGCAATGCTGGCACAAGATCCTGTGCATTAGGAAAGCAACTAAGAAAAAAGTCGACCAGTGGAACTGGGCACAGTCCTGCTCCTGTACTGGTTTTACACAGCATTCACGGTTTACACTGGCAAGCAGAAAGGGAGAATTGACTTGGTGGTTCTGCATGCAGTGCCCCGGAATTATTTTTTTCCGTTAACACTGGACACAAGCCAACGCCAGAGCTCTGAATCCCAGTTCATTCAAATCCCCAAGGGGTTCAGGATGGAGTCATTCGACAGGCTTAACCCAACAGATTCAGCCTGGCTCACATCCCAAACTAAGAGAAGTTTATTTTCTGATTCCACTGCAGGAGACTCAGCTGTTACGGAACTGTACTGGGCTATTTCACTTTGACGGCAAAATCTTTCACCTGCTTTCTGGGTGGAGATATCTGTCCTGCAGTTAGAAGAGCAGCACCACTAAGCCTGCTGGTCCCTTCTTTATTTTTGAAAAAAAAAAAAAAACCCACAACAAAACAGAATTTGGAAATGAGAGAGTCTCCCCATCTGTAAAAGGAAATCTTTCCTAACAACACTGTGTCTGTTTTGAATGAAAACATCCGATTTTGTCGTGTTGGCACATCACAGCAGTATCACATCTACACAGGAAAAGTTAGTAGTTATTCCAGCTTTGTCTGCCCTGTACATGATAGTCCACGCAACCCTGACACAAACCCACTGAAAGCTCATCTTTGCTTGCCAGAACACTTTCACACATGACGTTTGTAAAACCTTTCTTCTTGCCTGAAATCATCCTTCTATTCATCCCAGGCTCCGGTGCATCCTCTGCTAAAGCTGTTGGCTGCTTCCTTATGTGCTTGGTGGGATCACTACAGAGGAGACCACAGATCTCCTCTCCTTCCTCAGGAATTAGCTCTTGAGAGGACCACAGGAAAGAGCAGGGTTTGTGCTCTCCAGGGCATGAAACATGGAAACCTACTGAAACAGTAGGTCTCTGGATGCAGATGTAAGAGGTAGGTGGGACATTAAGCCTTCTCCTTCCCATTAGATCCCATTCCAAATTGCATAATACCTTGGCCATTCATCACCATCCATGTGCTTAATCTGTCCAGCACTGACAATTCTTCCCTATACCACCATATGCTATAAATATAAATTTATTCATACTTTAGAAATGCACCAGATACTATACTTAGCGCATGGATAATGATTTGTAACAACAAAAATAGAGAAGAGGAAACCAAATTCAATCTTCAGTGGTGCACAGAGCTTCGATAGAGAAGAGGCAGACTCCTTGGGGTGATGTCTAAGGCTCTGGACACTACCCCAGGGTAACCTGGCAGGATGATGTAAACCCATGCAGTCATGGAACTGTACAACAACTTATTCATCTCCCATGTTTGACTTGTGTGGAGAGTTCTGAGGACAGCAAAGGGTGCCAAATTGCATTAACAGATGGCTCTTGACTTCTTTCCACATCTGAGACCACACCCACTAGTGAGAAGATGAAGCATGTCTATATGGACATGTCTGCTCAGGACACTGCCAGAAGCTTTTCAGAGCATAGGCACTTCCTTTTAAAAGCAGAATTACTCCAAGAGATCTGGTATTTGTTCTTGACTGAAGGATAAGGTTTCTATAGCCAATGATAGTAATGTTCATCTTGAGTAAAACCTCTAGTTATTCCTAAAAGGTGCCCAAATCCCCTTCAGTACAGTTGCTCTCCTTTAATCCTGCCACGAGGCAAAAAGGATCTCAGCAGCCAGAGCATTGTCAGAGGTGAAGAGCCCTGGAGCCAGACTGATTTCACATGTTCTCAGAGGAATCACACCATATTTGTGTCTCTTCAAACAAGGACAGGATCACCTCATACTACAGACATGGGCTGGGCTATGCAACAAGGCATAGAAATAAACAGCTCTTGAATGCCAGGGCCTGCTCCTGACTTCATTTCTGTCAGGCACAAAAGCTTCTTCACTGGCCTTGAGGAGTTAATGCTAGTCAAAACCTATTTACATCAGCAGAGAATCACCCCCTGAAACACCATAAACTAAACCATTTTAGGCAGCATGAGAGATTGAGATTCGGAAAAAAAAAAAAAAAATCTTCCCATCAATAATTTTATCAAGCTAAAAAGGAAAGATAAATTTAGCTCTTCAGAGTAAATTATCTGTTTTAAATCAGGTGAATCATCTTTCCTCCAGGAAGCTAAAATTTAGACTTTTGTCTGTGTAACAAAATCTGTATAAAGACATGTTTGTTGACATTGCTGAGCAACTGTGATACTTTGGAAAGGGACAGACTGCAGATAAAAGGGATTTTGACTCCTTTGTGCTAACTTCTTCACACACACCTAGAAAAGCCAGTTTCTAGCACCATTAGGAGTTCGCTCTTAAGTACTCTGTATGTCAACACCAGTGGCTTTGCTATACATCATCCTGACTTCTATAAAGAGATTGCATCTGATAGCACAGCATGTTCTCCGACCAGCATGTAAGTTAGGGTGATAAGTAGCTGAGATCTGGCTGCACCACAGATGAGAATTCTGGAAAAATTTACATCAAGTGATGACTGCTTTTGAAGGAAATCTTACATCGACGTTTTCAAGTCAGCCTATTTAGATGCACATGTTTAATTACATTTCTTAATTTAACCTCTGTTCTTCTGGACTGCTTTGAAAGTGTCAGCCATGATCTCAGCTTTCAAAGCTTTGCTTGGTGTGAACTTGCACACCAAAACCCTCTGAAACAACAAATTACTACTTCAGGGCTCTGCCAAACGTGTCAAAGTACTCAAAACAGGAAGCCCATAAAGCCAATGGCTCAGTCTTGACCCTACAGAGCGACGGGCTTTAAACCCGAATCTTCAAAAGAGCTGACGGTTCACTGAAGAATTATTTGATATCAGACTATAGAGTTAAGTCTCTACTGTGTAATACTACGAGCTAATAAGCAACAGGGACTTGGCAGACTTTCACCACATAACATTTGTTTCCTTTGGAGATTTACTTTTACAGGGACCACACACATCTGAAAGTCTTTTAAATACCAATCCTACTGAGCCAAAGTCAGCTCAGCCGCTGGGGAGGGAAGGGTGGAGGAATACCTCCATAGCATAGTTTCACCACTCCAAGCCTCGTAACCATCTGCAGAGGCTGTTCAGACCCTGAACTCAGTGGGCTGGACCCTTCTACAGCCTGAATCACAGGAAACCCCAAGGAGCAGAAGGGACAAGGTTTTCAGTATGGGGAAGGAGGAGAGGGTGGAAGCAGAAGCTGGGCTCCAAGGCCATCTCCAGCAGCTGGTCAATGCAGAGCTCCACAGCACCAGTACCTCTTGGGTGGGACTTGTCACTCCTCCAGAGGCTGTGCTGAGTCAGTGCATTTGTGCTGCAGCCCCACACCCTTGGCAGATACCCTCAATCTCAGCAGATAACTTTGGCTTCAGATAAGCTCCTTTTGGGAAAAAGAGACCTTTACATCCTCTGAGGGCTCAACAGGAAGCAGGGTGCAAGTGAAAAGGCCATTTCCTGTGCTCATAACCTTTCTAAGTATCTGGAAATTATGCAGCTTATAATGAGTTATTTGATTAACTCACTCAAGACATTCCCAACACATCCAGACACCAAAAAGATACAAACACACAATGGTCATCCAAAAGAAAAATACCTTTTGTACTAGATGGCTTCTGGCTCCATCCCCTCCCTACTACAAGCAAATCACCACAATCAGTAAATCTTTCCCAGCTGAAAACAAATCCCCTGATAGCAGAAAATGAAGCACCTCCACCCCAGTACACACCCCATGACATTTTGGGTAAATCCTGCCAGAACCAGTGATTTCCACAAGCCAAATTCTGGTGGCAGTTCAGTGGCAGCATTTTCCCTTAACAGCAGTTTGCAAAAAGCCATGGAAATGTCTGCCACATGCATTGCCTGTACCCTGGGGGACACGCAGAACCTCACAGAGGTTGTCAGTACATTTTTGCTGACCAAATTATGTATGATATATGGTCTGCAAGTCCCAGCCAAGGTCAAGACAAATGGAATCACAAGAAATCCAGATGTCCCCTTTCTCTGAGGTTGTCCATGGACTACATCGTAGTACTTCAGAGACTCATGACCAAGAATTTAATAACTTCTTGATAATTTCATTTTATACAGTAACTAACTGAATACATGATTGCCAGCCTCTTTCAAAATGCCTGCTGAATGTAACATTGGTTTGAAGGACTTTCCTGATGGAATATTAAATGTTGGAAAGGAAAATCCCATTCAAAGCCATCATGGGGGATCATGTCACATTCAAGCTGGAAATGCAAGATATTTCTTTCAAACACAGACCCTCTCTGTCACTCTGAAGGCAGTGACAATGAGGTCAGGTGACACTGGATAAGCGTTCGTAAAAGATACCAAAACAGTCCATTGTGTAAACTTCGAAATCACAATAGACCGTTTCAGAAGTTGTTTTCCACAAGAGACTGCCACTCAGTACACAATGTCACCCCAGACCGAGCCCAACAGAGGCTGCAGGATCAGTCATGTTTAATATCCTAGGGAAATACCTTCTTATTATCAAATAGTGAGTGCATGTGAACTACAAAACTAGCATTTTAGACAGAAAACAAAAAGATGCCTTCGATGGCCTTGGGAGAGATTAAGACCTTTTGATCTCATGCCATAGGACAAAGACTAGAGATCACAAGAGGGCGAACTACACTAACCTGGAGTTCTCATAGCCTATCTCGGTCTCATCTTGAACTT